GGGAGGGGGTAAGGTAGATCGAGAGAGAGCGCCGCACGTGGAGAAGGAGGCCCGGAGGGCGGAAGAGTGGGGAGCGCTAGACGGAAAGAGGGAACGGGAGGTCGATGCGCGGGAGGAGGACGGGGAGGAGGGAAAAGAAGCGCGCCCGTACCGATGTCGAAATCCTCGCGCTCGGAGGGAGAAAAACTCTCCGGTATGTTTGCGTTTTTAGGAGACCGCTCTTCGAGAGAATTTCGCGGACTCGGAAGTCCGCGAGATGGGAGAAAGGTGGGAGGAGGACCAGGAGCGAGAAGATCGAGCGCGGGACGAGATCGACTCGGCTCGAGCGAAAGCGAGACCGCGGAAGAGAAAGGGGGAGAGAAACGGCGACGGAAATACCGAATCGCGCGCGGTAGATAAAGAGGTCAAGCGATTCCGGGGGACGGAAATACCGAGAACCGCCAAGTCGGAGGGAGACCGAGAACGCGGGAGAGCGAGAGGGCGCGATAACCCCCTCGGAAGACGAGGACGAAAACGGCAAAGAAGGGAGAAGAACCGGCGAGCCGTCCGAAAGGGTGAGAAGACGCGAGAGCGAGAGAGAAGGCGAGAGAGCCCGAACGGGAGCGAGCCGTGCGGACGAAGAGGGAAAGCGCGGACTCGGCACCAGAGCGACGGAGAGAGGAACGCGCGACGCGTCAAGTGCGCGCGCCTTCGCTTCGACTCGGAGAAGCGCGTCGGAAACGTTCGTATCTTTCCGTGTCTCCTCGTGTTCTCCCTTTCCCTTCTCCGATACATAAACATTTCCCTCCCCCCCGGTCGGGTCGCCGTCTCGCTCGCTCCCGCCGTGGTCGCGCTAGCTCCGTCCCTCTCTCATTCCTCGCCGTCCGCCCCCACCGGTGCACTGCCTTTTCGACTACTATCTCGCGCTATCGTGCGCGGCCACCTACACCGCCCCCCTCCCAACCCCTTCCGCCGCCCCCCGCGCACGGTAGCCATGGAGATGCAGGCGCGACGGCGAAACTTTGTTTTCGCCGCGTCTCTCTTTTCCACCCACCGACACCCCCGGCGAACGCGCGCAGCGCCGCCATTTTGGTTGCACGCTTTGCCGCTCGCCTCGAGAGGGACGCTGCCCCTGGCACTCGGCCGAGGGTGAGAGGGCCACGGGACGCGAGGGGACGTCCTCCTGGATCTTCGGAGGCTTCGTTTATTAACGTCACTGCAACAAGTTGCCGCTCCGCGGATCAACGCTTCCGAGCTGGCCCACCGGGTGGCGAACGATTCTTCGAGCCCTGGTTTTCCGCGCTCTTTTGGTACCGCGAAACACTTCGTTTATGAAGCCATGCCCCGATTCCAAGACCCATACGCGGTCGGGAAACGTGCAGGTGTATTTGTAGGACAACCCTTTCGCGGGATCGTACGTACCAATTATGTAGATGCGCTTCTCTTGAAATATATTCCTATAAACATCGCGTTACCCCCTGCTAATTTATTTACACCCCGATCGGTTTTAAATGACACCCGTTAATGCTCCTTCTCGAGGTCCCGACATCCGCCACGTTTCCGGCGACTGCGGGCCGCGCCGCCATTTTGGTACCGCTTTCCACCGCCCCCCGTTGAAACGGACGCCACTTTCTGGCGCACGGCCGAGGGGGAGGCATTCTCTATCTTTCGAGGCTTCGTTTATTAATGTCGCTGCAACAAGTTGCCGTTGCAACGGAACGGATGAGCGCGGTCGCTTGCCTAACGGGATGCGCCTCCCCGACGCCAATATGGCGCCCAGGGGGAATACGACCTCGAAATGCGATCCAATTCATCGTAATTGCCCCCAAGGTTGCGAGACTCCGTGCCGTTCTCTGCCTCTTGCCAGTGCGAATAAAATGTTCTCCAATAAGAAGTGGAATTTCTTTATGAAAGCTTGCCCGAGCTTTCGGAGTATTTCTTTAATACCAATTTGAACGAACGATAGGAGATCGACTCGCAGACGCATTCCCGTCGACGGAGACGTCGAACGCGTCATCGACGGTGAAATTGTTGCTCTCCGCTGCGGTTTGACCGCAGAAAAGAAATGCTGCCTAGCCTTTCGACGGGCATCCACAAGTATATCGAGTACAGAGCACGAGCGCGTGTTGTGCCCTCGGTACGCTTCGTCGTATTACCGAGCGAAATTGTTCCCCATTGTCATTCTACCGAGGAAAAAAAAAGGAAAAAAAAAATGAGCACTCCTTTCGGCCGCCATCTTGCGAGCGTCGAGTTCGGAGACGGTCTTGCGTAACCGATACTAAAACAATGCCCTCGTTAATTGACCGATATTCTTTATACGGGAATGACGTGATTTCTTCGGCGATTTCAGGGAGGGAAAAAGATTTTTATCCTACGAGTGGTAACGACGCGAAAGTCTTTTTCCGGAGGGACGAAAGCAAAGATGGCGAACGGCTCTATTAATAGCGAAAGGAGCGCTTTCGTTCATACGTGACTCACTGGCGCATCTTTATCTCGCTTCCACTCGGACCACCCAAAATTATCTTATCTTAAGGAATGGAGGTTTGATAACCGCACTGGCCGAAGACAACTTTTACGACGCGACGAGGCAGGCTCACTTCGGAAACTCTGTCGGTTGAATGACAGGGAAATATCGCAAGAAAATATTGATATAGAGGACGAGACATTTAAGGAGATAATTTAATCCGGGAGATTCGCTCTTTCACTTTCCCGAAAACCTTGAGGGTTAGGACGAAGTCCTCACCGATTGGAATCAACGTCTCAACGTGGACATCTCGAGAACTCCCAGGAAAAAAACTCAGGAGACTTAGGGTAATTCCTGGATGATAAACGACAAGCCTGGATAGGGGGTGGAAACTTAATGGCGCGCAATTTATGACGCCGTCAGACAGTAATTAAAATCTCGTTAATCACCAGAAATTACCGCAAGACGAGGTCGCGCCTACGGAAACTTTAATCCCCGATCCCCGTGTCACCCCTCCGGAAAGTGAAACTCCTACCCTCCGGAGTGTCGAAAGATGCCGGAAGACGGGAAAATCGAAATATCAAAGGATATGCATTCCAAAAACCCGCGGATCATAATGGAGAAGCGCATTGCCGGCCGCGTGGGGTAGGCCGACGAAAACGCCCCGCGGGGTTGGAATTAACATTTTATTTTGCGCGATCGATAATTCCGCATTTCCCACCCCTCTGCGGGGTGGAAAAAGTTACAAGAGGACCTGTCCCGAGGAGGGAGCGAGAGGGCCTGGACGGAGCCAGGCGGACGAAATCGGAAGAACGAGAGGGAGGGAATGAGGACTAGGCAGAGGGAACGAAGGAAAGGACGGAAGGGAAAACTCGGAAGAGGGAAAGAGACGGGAAACGGGAGCAGAATAGGGTCGTCAAATGCAACGCGGCGAGGGGTGGCCGGGGGTTGAATTATAGTTGCGACTTCAACCACCAGGCGGCCTTAAGCAGGAAAATTTTAAACATGGCGGTGCAGCGCGGACAGGCGCACCACGAGTCGATCAATAGCGCCTTGTTTAATGTCAGTTCTCAAAGTCCGCATGTCCGACATCGAGACGAGTCGCGCTGGGATTTTCGACTAAATGGGGAAAAAAAAGATTTCCACCGGAAACTCGAAAAACACCCCTCCTCCGTCGTCCCTTTTCCATCCCCCCGCCACCTTGCAGATTTTTCCACCCACGTATAAAATCAGCCGTTAGAAAATGGCGTTTTTATCATAAGGATTTTTCGAGTAAACGGAGAAAAATAAATATTAATATCAGCCATTAGAAAAAAAAATGGCTTTTTAATATGACGCTTAATATTCCCTCATCGATTGGGATTTTGAGGGGAATTTTAAGCCGGTCCTCGTTGAGCTCCAGAAGCCGTCCGTCATTAAAACCGAAGCAGGGACCGGATGTCACCTGAAGGGTGACATCGCCTCGTAATTAAACGGTTTATTCCCGTTCTCCGGTGGCGAGAAACTTCCCGGGGCACTTCCGCCCAGGCCGGGCCGGAAGTTGCGGAACTTCCGCACGGTCCCCGGGGAAGTTCGGGCGAAAGGGATCGCGAGGAGACTCGTAATTAGCGTCCGGTAAAAGTGAAAACCTATTAAGAGAGTCCGTTTCTCCGAGAGTAATTCCTGACGCTTCCCGGAGGACTCTCATCCCGAGGGATGAAGGAGGAGGAAGCTCCCCGGAGAGGGAGACATTCCAAGGGCGGCTAGGCGGGACATAATTCCGCCGATGAAAATTCGGAGAAATATCAATTCCCTGACACCTTGTGTCTTCTCGCGACTTTAAGAGCTCAAAAGAACTATCCCCCCGTGATTTTAAAAATACCGAAATGGCAAAGTGTCGGAAACGGAGCCTCGCGGATGCTGGAAATTCCGCGGCTCTTGTCCCTTTTGGGAGTTTAGCCATTCGCTTTCCTTCCTTTTCCAGTTTCCTTTGAGAAGCATTCTTGGGATATTCGGCGCGAGCTTTCTGGTCCTTCGGCCCAAAGAATCCGATAAAAGGTCCGCGGGGGGAACGAGGTGGCGTAACGGATGCGGAAAAGAAGCCGCACTCGACTGGCCGTCGTAGGATGCTTTTCCGGAGTTAAACGTTTCCGAGCCAAACAAAAGGTGGCGCAGAAATGGCCAGACCTCTTAGTCTCGTACCTCGCAGGGAATTTCACATTTACGGCGATCGTAATCGCGTTTAACTTTTGTTCGCTCCGCCGTATCACTCTTTGGTCAAGAGATAGCGCTCCGCTCTTATCGTGCGCCGAGGCCTTTGGCTATTTTTACCTCCGGCCTCCTTGTTTGTAGAGAAATAGTTTCGAGACCGCGCCGAGGCGTCGAAACGTAAAAATAACCATCAGGAGCGTTTCCGAAAATTACTCTCGCCCGCAATTTTCCCCGCGCGAGGTGAGGACGCTCGGTAAGGATATTAAAAAAAGAAATTCCGCCGCGAGATTCGCCGGCCCATCCGCTGGTACCGAATGGTCGGGAATTGTCGCCGAGGGAGTAATGAAATTTTTGGAAAATTACTCACCCTCGTCGCACCCTTCCCTCGGCCTCTCCCTCGCTCCCTGAAGGCCCCCTCGCCGGTCTGCAGGTGATACAGGTGCTGAAAGCGAACATTTAAACGGGATTAGAATTAAGTTTTGGAGATTTTTCTGACGAGGCCTGCCGATGCCCATCGGGCCGTCCGAGACTGTCGGAGCCTATCGTAAAATCGCGGCACTCCTATAATGTCAATTGACCTCGTTAAGTTCAATAGAACCCGTATGAAAAGTACTTAGAGTTCCACGAGTGCGCGTCTGCCTCGAGTAGGAACTAAACCGGGCCCGGGACTTCCGGTTTGCACGTTAATTCAATTTAATATCGACCGCTGAACCGGAAGTGATCCGAAGCGTTCCATATGTACGAGACCGTTCTTGCAGATTTCGGACGTCGGACTTAATTTAAAGTTGCGCTCGCCGACCGTGGGAGAAAAAGTCGACTTTCGAATTATACGAGAACACGTAAGACCCGAGTGGAAACTGAGCCGAGCCGAGGGACTTCCGGCTTCTACTTTAATTCAATTTCAAAGTAACGAGGTGCCCGAAGTGTCGGGAACTTCGGGGGGAAAAGTTATGCCGCGTGCTTCGCGACAAGTTTGAAATTCGGAACTCCGCCCTCTGCGAATGCTAATGCGATATTAACTTCGGAGATTAGAGATATGAAAATGGCGGACGTCACTTCGAAAGGGCGAGAGAAGGGAGGCATCAAATTCGAGCCACGGATCGGTAGGAATAACCCATGAAATAATTTATATCAATTATCGGAGCAGGATTTTTTACTTCGTCAACAAGTCAGATTTCTTTTCCGTTTTTAAAAAAGGCATTTATCTAGCGAGGTGGTAGGTAACTGGGAGATATATCGAGTACCGATAACGTAGGCTCTCTCTATACCCGACATGGGTAGAACGTGATTACCGACCAGGCGTACTTATCGACGGTAGCTGGAGCGGACAGCTGGATTCGCTCTGCCTTACCAACCGTCAAGGAAAAAAAACAAGAACTCCACAAGGTCACGACGCCACGTGCGCGCGTCTCGCGCATGCGCACGAGAGGCGGCACCAGGCAAAATTGATTTTTTTTTTTGTTGCACGCGTACCCGCCAAATTGAATTACGGCACGTCGGGTACGCGACTGCGTTTTGCGCGCCTTAAAGCCCCTTTTCGCAGGATTCGGTATTATACGTCGCACAGATACGGAATTTATACAGTTATTAATAAATAACCGTGTCGATCATCGATGCCGATGCACAAGATGTAAGAATTTTCCCAAAGGCTACTTTCTTTCTCCCGCTCGCTTAGAAACGATGGAACGATCTACGGGAGGAGAGAAAAGAGAAGAAAGAGAGTAGAGAGGAAGAGAGTCGGAATATTATGGGCGCAACTCCCGGACCAATGAGCACGGAGGTCCGAGGTAAAACGTCCCCTCGTTACGGCACACGCGTGAACGATTATGGTCTAATTCCCTTGTACGAACAATCCAACCTACCTACCAACCTAACGGGCAACCTCCCCACGTACCTATCTACCTAGCCACCTATTAGGGCCGGCCGATATATCGATATATCTGCAGTGAGACCCTCTTGCAGTTCCTACGAGATATCCGAGGGTTCTATCGTGGAGACTTTCATAGGTTATTAATAAAAATAATCTGACGGGGGTATTACCTCCTTAGAATTTTTATCAGCCCGCCCGACATAACGATACCAAGTTCATGCATTATCGCCACCGAGTCGGGATTACGCCTTCCCACCCCCGAATTTCCCTCCTGACCATTCGGTGTCCTGTCAGCACCTACTCCTATTTGCCAGCTACTTACCCACCTACCCAAATACCTATCAACCTAGCAACCTACCCTTCCGCCAACCTACCCACCCACCTGCGCCTTCCCTGCGTACCTGGTGCCTTGCGCCCCCAGGAAAACCGGAGAGGAGCGCAGTCAATAAGCACACGGTCCAGAGACAGGGGTTGCTCGGCATCCCGCTTTTCCTCCCGTTTCCGCCCATTTTCCACCCTCTTTCAACCCTTTCCTCGGCGGCCTCTCTCGCGCGTGCAAAGTCCACTCGAGCCCTCGGGCACCTCCACCCTCTCTCTCGGTTCCGCTCCCTCCGGCCGGCGCTCTCCCTCTTTCGAACTCTCTCGGAAGAGATGCAAGGCAAATGTCAATATCGGCAATGCATCGCTGAAAAAGCTGCACTTGGGGCGCGAATGAGGGCGTAATTAATCGCAGGGAAGCGAAGAGATTTTCTTCGACTCGCCTGCACAAGGGGTGCTTCTACCCCCGCGCGAGCACCCCTTTGCAAGGCCCCGACGCACTTACTCGGAGGCGGGAGTTCTTCCCCGCGCGAAGGGATGCGAAAACAGCCTCTGCAATTTTTCTCCTCTCCTCTTCGCAGATTTTCTTTTTTTTTCCCTCCCTTTCCCCCCCCGCGTAATCGGCGCGTTCGACATTGCGTTTGGCCGAGTGCGAAAAGGCGCAGCCGCGCGAGACGTCGCATCGGTTTCCCTTTTAGGTGCCGACCAGGGTTTGCATTTTACCGGAAGATAAATTCCTATCGGCTTGAAAGGCGACGAGAGACGCGTCCACTTTCGGGCTTCTCGTGTGACGCGATGCGGCGGGAATTTGGATTTATTCTTATCAGAGGTAGGTGTCGATTCGCCGGATGGGATTTGAGGTGCGATCGGAATACAGAGGCGATTCCGTTGTGCTCACGGGACTTGCCCTAATTATCTGCACGGCCGTGGCGGTGTGTGCCCGAAAAAGACCGGCTGCCTTATGAATTATTTAAATAAATATGCGCCACCGAGGACACGTGCCGGGACCGCCGAGACTCGCGCGACGACATTATCGCCGCGAGCAAATCTCGGCCCGAATCGCGAGACATCCCCTTTTCCGAGCCTTCGAATCCCCGAGGGAGATCCAACCTGCCGATTCGACCTCGAGGAAATGATTTTATACGCGCCCCTCTTTATATTCCACCCTGAAATTAAACACACTTCGCGACGTAGCGCTACGACTCGGTGAGTTCCGCCCAGCGAGCTGGATTTTCAGAACGGGAGAAAAACGGAAGACGGTATATCGAGATGAGGCGAAGTCTTTCTAACCTAATTTTCCAAAGATGCGGCATTAGGGTCCGACGGAATCTTAAGATTCGAGCAAGGGGAGAAGATATAGGAAACCGCATGCAAAAGTAACAATTATCGCGACTCTTGAAACTGGCTCGCTCGTAGTGAAATTCCCCGGAGATTTCACACGGCGATTCCTGAATAATGACCGCGATCCTATCAACCCCTTTCTTTTCCCGTTTCTATTTCTGCAGCGTATAAAATTAGCATGTTTTTGCATTCGCTTTAGGGCCACCGAAGAGTCTTCCTCCTTCGACGTGTGTAGAAAAAGACGGGAAAGGCAAGAAACGTTTCGGTCCCTTCGCTCGAGAAAATACTTAATCGAAAGTCTCCCTCCTGCGGATAATTTCTACCCGTGCAGAATTACGGAGGGAGGAAATCTTGGGGAGAAATAAAATCGTGAAAACTCGAGGTGGCTCGCTCGAGCGCGCCCGTCGGAACGGCCGCCATCTTGCTCACCGCGCGACCAATTAGAAGCACGCGCGCTGCCAGCTGTCATCCGATCTGACGATAAGCTAATTAATATCTTTCGTGAAAACGTTTCTTTTCTACCGACCCGACAGATGCTCGAGGAGCGATAATCCAATATAGGCGTACCAGCACCAGTTTATTGCCGTCGCCGACCTCGGCAAGGAGTTTTTAGTTTCCAGCCAGAAAGTGGGAGAAAGTGGAAGATTTTTCATCGGTAAGGAGATACTCTAGAGAGGAGGCTCGTTTCTTCTCAAGGCCCCCTGAAATCGGGGCCTCAGGCCGCAGACTAAACAAGGTACGGCCCGTTTTCCAAATAACGAGCGGAAGGGAAGCGGCATGGCGGCAGCGGGCACTCGAATTTGTTTGACGGCCCGATGACACCGAACATTCGCCCCAAGAAGATGGAATTATAACCAAACATGGCGTCCCCGGTGCCGGAAGGGAAAACGAGCCCCGAGGAAGCTGCAGTGCGGCTCCATGCAAATGCCGATGCATATGGAAGAGGGCGTTCGAAAAGATGCGACTCTCGCGGGAATAATGAAAACTTCGGACCCCTCGTCGACGCCTGGCCATTTAAATGCATTTAAATGTCACCGGGTAACAGCGTATCATTACACTTAGAAGGAGCAGGGAGATCTTTAAGCGGGTGTTAGGACCGACGTCCGGTTTCCGAAAAGTCCATGCCGCATGCGGACGAAATTCGTCTAGTCCGTGGCCGCAGCTGTCGGGCGCTCCGTGCCCGGAATACGGCCGAGGGACGCGTGACAAGAAAAAAAAAGAGAAAAAGAAAAAGAGGAGGGAAAACCAAAAATCCTCGATATCCGGCGAGGAGGCCGCTGCCATTTTTTGGATCGTCGAATGGAATCCCACGTCAGAGAAATAAAAAGTTCCCCCCGTCCCTTCCGTTCCGTCGAGCCTGCCCGTGAAATGTCTCGGGATAAATTCGTCGCGTCAATCACGGGATTTTCGTTGCGCCTTCCCCATGCACGTTTCTCTTCCCCTCGCTTCTCTTCGCTGAACAAATGCGCCGAAATTACACGGGGGAAAGGGGTTCTACGAGTGAGAAAAAAAAATAAATAAATGCAACCGAGAAATCGACGGAGCTTAGCGCCAAATACACGTTACCGTCGCCATTTTATTCATTCCACCATGCGTATTCGACTCGATGGATTTTCCTTCTTGGTGTGGTGCAATTGTGCAACAAATGCGCCGCAATTACACGGGGGAAAGGGGTTCTACGAGTGAGAAAAAAAAATAAATAAATGCAACCGAGAAATCGACGGAGCTTAGCGCCGAGTACACGTCACCGTCGCCATTTTGCCGATTCCACACCGTGCGTATTCGCCTCGATGGATTTTCCTTCTTGGTGTGGTGCATCGCCGATAAATTGAAGGTGCCGTGCACAAAGTGCGGCCAGTCTCGACCGACTTAAGCTTCCGACAATCCATTTCGACTGCGGCAGATGGCCGGCG